ATTGGCACGTGTCTTCAGCTTAGCATTGCCGATCAAAAGTTGAGTAAACTGTAAGCTATAATTAAAATCAGATTTTAATAGAATATCAAAATTAGCATTTTGTATTAGACAACGTAAAATAGATTAAATACGTACATGTGCGGATATAAAAATCATTTAATTGTTTGAAATGAAAAAAAATATAGCAAATTCGATAGGAAAGAAGACGTCGACATAGAACATGTTTCACAATTCAGATTGGATGAAAAAATTGGATGTGACATATTAGAAGAACATCGGACATTGATGTTCCACGATTCCTCGCAATTTTGAAATGTTGTTGGGGGGAGATACAGGAACGAATGGGGCAATATCGACCCTAAACTATATCTCAAATAAATATTACAATGTTCAAAGGTACCTATCTCCGAACTTGATCTAAGTTTGGAAAAAAATTTTACGATGAATCCTGTTTCGACCAATTCAGGTATTGCCTTCGAGAGTCATCGGGCCCAGACATTATTGTCGTATCAAATGATATACATATGCACTTTTTGGACGTTGGGCTAAGATATTTTATTTGAATATTCTGTACTAAAAATGGAAAAATATTTTTCATAAGGAAGAAGTTTTTGCCAACAAAGATTTACAATAATATTCCAATTTTATCTTAGCAAAAATATGAAGTTGGACAAAATACCAGTAAAAAAACAAACAAGATCTTTGAATACCCATTTGGAACGATTTTGGCAATTTTCAAAAAAATAAAATCCGTTCAAAATTCTATTGAAATCTTAAAAAGACCGAATGTAGCCGTTATAATAGGGTCTATACGACGACGTGGACCTGCATAGGCAACTTTTTTCATAAACTATTACAATATTCATTGCGTAACTTTAATAAAAAACAAGTTAAAAAGTAAATCGACCGGGCCGAACTTTGAATACCCTTCACCATTTGGAACGAAATTGGAAATAAAATCATTAAAAAATGCTGTTAAAATTTTAAAAATATCGAATAGAGTCGTTATATTAGTGCCTCTACGACGTGGACCCACATTGGCATTGTTTGTCATAAGTCATTACCAAATTCAAATTCGGAACTTGAAATAAACGGTGCATAATGTAGCTTAAATCATCAAAATATCATATATAGGGAGGTACCGTTATATCGGAGCTGTGCGAAGACTTGGACCAGCATAGACAATTTTCTGTCATAGGCTGTAGCATCCATTACTAACTTCAAATATGACATTTCAAACAATTTCATTGAGTATTCTACCTGCACTCTAGTGAATAATGTCGCTTAAATGATCAAAATACCGATAAGAGGGCTATATGAGGGCTATAGCAAAACGACCCATTTTCAATACCAAAACATAAACTGCAGACATAATACACATTTGAGTAAAATTTTATCAACCTACTTCATTTCGTTCGGAAGCTAGAGTGATTTCCACAGACGGATAGACGGACGGTCATCCCTAAATCGACATAGAATTTTATGCTGATCAAGAATATATTTCGAGGTGTTACAAACGGAATATATATTTCGGGGTGTTACAAACGGAATGACAAAGTTAATATACCCTCCATTGTATGGTGGAGGGTATAAAAATACCAAATGCTTGGATCACCCTGTGCCAGTGTTGTAACATTTAGTACGCATATCCATAGTAATCTACATCACTACATCCCAGACACTGACAGTGATCCAAAATTATCACCACCTTGTACTTCTCGAACATTTACAGTACGTATTTGCAAAACCACCAGTAGATCTTACCACCAGATACCAACAATATCAAATTTCGGGATTCCAGCTCTATACATTCACTCAATGCCAAACTTAGTACCATTTAGCTACCAGCTTTTTCTCTCAACCACAGACACCAACAGCGACATCAATATTAAATTTGAGGATTCCAGCTATATTCCCTCACCCATTGCTAATTTCACCCGATACCAAACATAGAGCCATTCAGTACAATTCGTACATATATGTTACACATACACACAGCGACCTTAATACCTAATTTTGTAACCATTCTAGGGTGGCGCGTGCTAAGTGCGATGATGCCGTGTGCTATTGGAGTGTCCAAGGACTGCGCCCAAAATGTTTGCGTGCCCAAGGCTTTAATACACCCTCCAGAATATTTTCGCGATAATATTCGGCATTTATTTTGATGCCACGGTCGATTATTCCGAGCGGAGAGTGACCATCGGCTGTTATGGGGGCCGACACCATCACCATGGCCGGAGCTTGAGTTCTGGTGGCCAACCGAAGGTGCACATTTTCAGCTAACCTCTTCGGTAAGTAAACACGTTCATTTTGTTTTTTTTTTTTTCCAAATTCGACAGTTCACCACTTTCCACCACCGCCAAGAGAAGCAACTCTTCAGCTCTTTTGAATCTATTTTCTTTCTTTTGCGGTGTACGTTTTTGCACTTTTTGGAATTTCAATGACTTTAACCCGAGCATATTTTTCAATATTTGCCGAATGGAATATTGCGATATGTTCAAATCACGAGCTATTTTTCGGCCACTGCGACGCTCGTTTCGATCAAGTCGCTTCTTTACTTTTCGAACCATTTCTTCTGATGTTGCTGTTCCGTCCGTCAACTTCCTTGACGTCGGGCTACGCTACCAGTATTACAGTAACGAGCGATGGTACGAGACGCAAAAGATTTATTCACATTTAAATGCTGGAGTGTTCTAACGATAGCCACTTGTGGTTTTCCAACCAAATATAAAGAAATCACACTATCACGCTTGAATTCCATCACGAATAACTTTTTTTCTGAAAAACTCCCGCCAAAATACTTTTGTACCCATGTAAACAATATAATGAGCTGTTACTGGCACTTGCACTTGCAGTACACATTTCCAAAACCACCGCTTTGTCGCAAAACAACCACCAACAGGAACACCAGCTTCGTCGAATTTCCCTAGACCAAACTGTTTCGAATTTAGTACCATTTGGTACAGTTCGTACGCTTAGTGCACATTTCTCAAACTAGCTTCATAAATCAAACTTACTTTCAAATCTTGCTTCTTATGCCAAATTTAAACTTTCTAGCTTCATCCGTTCATATTATGCCAAATGGTACCATTTGAGAAGTTTAGTAACATTTTAGAACTTTTCGTGACCTTCAAGTTCGAATATCTCAAAAACCCTTTGGTACATCTATACTGCACTCCATCTGTGATTCTCATTTCTGAATTCTATCTCATTTTTTTCGTTCAATACAAAGTGTAAAATTATTATTATTTATCGTACCCTTTTAGTACGAATTTTTGAAAACCCGGCCTTATCACACGTCTACGCACCAAGACTGACCTTCGTGTAAGATTTGAAGATTCTAGCTTCCGCCGTTTCGTCTGGCCATTGATTCCCAGTCAGTCATATATTTCACTACTTTTTTTATACCCTACACCACAATGTGGTCAGGGTATTATGTCTTTGTGCATTTGTTTGTAACAGGCAAAAGGATACGAGATGACCCATTGTTCCTTTTGATGATCTGCATAGAATCACATTCTGAAGCGATATGCGTGTCCGTCCGTCCGTCTGTTCATATATTTTTGTAAACAAAGTACAGTTCGCATTTATTGCCCTATACAGATGAAATTTTCCACAAATCATTTGTTTGGCCCAAGGATGAACCCTATTGAAAAAGATAATCGGTCAAAATTTAGATATAGCTCCCATATATATCTTCGTCCGATTTGCCTTTTATTGTGCACCAAACGTGTAATATCAGCCGGAACATCATCAGCACATACAACCAAATTAGACCTGAAAATAAGTATGCCAAATTTGATCGACATCGGTTCAGATATAGCTATAGCTCCCATATATATTGTTTATCCGATTTGTTGTTTTTGTCCTCCGCAGCCGTAATATGTACTCTGTAACAAAAATATTTGGGGAAATATATCAAATGCAGCTCAGAAATACATTTGCTAAATTTTATCAAGATCGGTTAAAATTTGGATATAGCTCCCACATATAACTTCGTCCGATTTACTTTTTACCAAACGTCTAATATTTGTCCAAATGGGATGGAATTTGGCATTTACGACCGAATTGAGTCTAGAAGCTAGTATGTCAAATTTGGTGAAGATCGTTTCAGATATAGTTATAGCTCCCATATATATTGTTCATCTGATTTGTTGTATTTGTTACCCACAGCCATAATATGCACTCCGTAACAACGATATTCAGGAAAATATATCAAATGCAACTCAGAAACATCTTTGCCAAATTTTATCGAGATCGGTTCAGATTTGGATATAGCTCCCATATATATATATATATCTTTATCCGATTTTAATTAACTGTGCACCAAATGGGCAATACAAGTCCGAATTTTAAAGATTGAAATGCTTCGGCATATTTAGTCCTTTGAACTTTAAATTATAATTATAATCATAGCGTGTATGATTGAATTCTCCCATAAAAACTTTTAATTGTTATGTGGAGCTCTACTAAATTAGCAAAGTGGTGTAGGGTATCACAAAGTCGGCCCTGCCCGATTTAGGACAGTCTTTACTGGTTATAGATAGATTAATAATAATTAAATATTAAACTATTAATAATTATTAAAAAAAAACTTAAATTATTAAAAAATTGTAATATGTCGAACTCCTGACCTAAACTAAAATTAATTTTCAAAGATTACCTCCGATTTAAAATAAAGTTTTCTTCTGATATAACTACGCATACATAGTGACACTCTTTAATTGTATACAAAATAATAAGAGAAGATTACTACTTGTGCTCAATAAACAAACGTTGGCTAAGAGAGTTATTTTTTCTTAACTCAAACAGTGGCACATCTACAGCTAAGAGAATTTCTCTTTCGTCTTCATCTTGTACAACACAAAAAGCTCTTGGCTTAGCTTTGAAATTTACGACGATGGCTTTGTTGTTGCCCCAACAAAATCAAAGCTTTTGACTGAATTTTGTGGCTAATGATTTGGTAGGTTTTAAATATTAGGCAATGTTGTGCCTTTAAGACAGATCTTGATCTCGGCTCAATGCGGACGGTTAAAAACTAAACAGTTCACGCGTAAAATTAAAAAAAAATAAATAACAAAAATAAGGATTAAATTAAACTGTGATATCTGTGATTTTAGAAATAATCATAAATTATTTCGTATAAATTAAATATTTAAAAATAAATACTAAAACCGTAGAAATGTGGAAAATTGCCTTGTGTTTAGTTGCCTTCCAAGTGATCTTGGCCCAAGAAGCAGGAGAAATTCGTAAGTTGCCCTATGAAAGGACTAAAGAAATATAAGATTAAAATAAGGTTTTTCATGTTCAATGTGGATGTGGTGTTGTTTTCTTAACAAGGATCAAGGAACAAAATTTCGGAATAGAAACAAAATTAAAATCTTGTCCGGCTTCAAATTAAAAAAACAATAATAATAATAATAACCACAATAATGAAAAACTTAAAAAAAGTTGAACTTAATTTATTGAGTTTTTGAAGCTATTCGAAGCAATTCTTTCCAAGAATTGTCAAGGATATTAATTTGTACACAGAAATTTGGTTCTGGAACATAAGTCCACAAATTACAGATATTATGCCTAAATATTGGAAAAAAAATGCAGAAATGATATTTTAAAGGGATAGTGTAGGATTTAATTTAAAAATCGAAAAATAAATGGTTTACTTTAAAGATTCAAACTTGTTTTGTACCAATATTATTATTTTTGGTACTTAAAAACATTCAAGCGATATTTTCAGTTACAAAAAAACACGTAGAAATTTTCAAAAACTCCCTTTGAAAACATTTTTGTGGAAAAAATAAGCAAACCGAAACTTTTTGATTTTCTGGATTTCCGAAAACGAAATTAACATAAAATGTAAACATACATACATTACAGTTCTGTATGTTTGCCCAATAAAATATGTTAGGATATTTAGTACGTTTTAGTACTTTTTGTAAAATTGAGGTACAGAACCCCCAAACCTCATACTAAATATAATGATTGTAGCACTTAGTACACCAGGTACTCTTTAAATACTTTGCCAGGCAATTTTTAACCACTTTTAGTACATTTTCAGTTTGAAATCCAGAAAATGGGAGAAAATCTCGCCCTAAAACCCTCCAAGGAATCACATTTTAATTTAAAATTTATGTTAAAAAATAATTTTTATTTATCCAAACGTGTGATCAAATGTTCGCCGAAATCGCCTCTCAATATGATGTGGCACCGTCTTGTTGGAACCACATGTCATATAAGACAATCTCTTGCATTTTGGGCAAAAAAGAATTGGATATCATCTCACGGAACTCACCAGTACGATCCCAATAACCCGCATCAAACTTTTTTTCTGGAGGCATTGGAAGCATTTGCAATACTTCTGGCTGATTCTCACTCCGAAACCGACAATTCTGCTTATTTACGTACCCATTGAACCAAAAAATGAAAAAGCGGGCAAAACAATTCATTGTTAAATTAAAGACCAAATCGAAGATGTTTGCCAGTGAAGCAAAATGCAAACCGACTTAGCCCAAAAATGCATTTCGAAACCATTTCCGGAAAAGGGGGACCAAACCGAATTCTATAGGAAAATTTTCTAAAAAAAATTACCATTGCGGAGGGCAACCGGGCCCACTTTGGTTAGGTCGGTGCGTGCGTGAGAAATTTAATTCAATGTTGTAAAAAAATCAATGAACGGAATGAATCTTTGGAGTTCCTCTTTTCTCTGGTATATAACTGGATATACATGTCCATGTTTTCGTATAGCATCCATATAAATTTACATTTTAATGCCCTCCTCTATTCTATAGAGTTTTAAAATCCACGAAATACTTACGTTTGACCAAAAAAAAAATATATATATACATATAGCGTAAAAGTCTTAGTCGTTTCAGCGATGCTCGTCTCTCTGTCTTTCCGTTGTAATCACGTTATCTTTCGAAGGAATTGAGATAAAAGGAAAGTTAAGTTCGTAAATGGACCATGTCGGTCCACGTTTTCGTATAGACCCTATATAACTGTACCTCCTGATATTCGGAAATGGAATTGTTTAAAATTCGACACTCAGAGTTTGAAGCGGGTTCCTCCTCCTTTGGAGGAACATTGTCTATATAGAATCACGTTTCCGGTAACGACACCTGTTATTATTCTGTATTTTGATGATTTAACAGTATTAATTAAAACTAGGTACTTAGGGTTCATAAAACGTTCTACCTTCTGTGACAGATTATTGCTTATATCGGTTAATGTTTTGCTATAGCCCCCATGTTTCGATAATTTCCGATATTCGGTATTCTAATGATTTAGCCACATTTTTCAGGTGAATCCTTCAAAATTCGGTATGTAAAGTCTGTAATGGATTATTGATTATTAATTTTCTTGGTCCAGGTAGATTTATTGATTTGGGTTCTATTAAGCTTATAGACCTAAGTTTTGTAAATAAAAATTCCTTTTTTATTTCATTAATCCCGACGTTTAGTCAATGTTTGTTGACATCTTCAGGGGATACGTCTATTTAATTAAACATTACATTAGATCAAATCTTCATGAATATATAAATAACTTACAATAAAATTGGATTAAGTTTACATGAAGTATTTCGTCAAGTTCAACAACACAAAACCTTAATAACTAATATCACAGATTACTATAATGCAATGCGATAGCTAACACTTATGTTGTTTGTGTCCTCTTTGAGATTCATCGTCCTTTTTATTTTTTGTTGTATTCGTAAACTTTCTATCGTGTATCTTTTATCGTCTTTGCTTTCTTTGTCCAATATTTTGACATTTTCAAAATTTGCTTTGTGTCCCGTTTTTCAAATATGTTGCGCCAATGCTGTTTTTTGTGTTCCCTTTTCAATGTCAGTTTTATGTTCCCCCATTCTCGTTTGCAATGTTCGTTTTGTTGTACCAATGTAAACAAGATCACAGTTTTGTTCGTCATTTCCAATGCATTCAATTTCGTATACTATGTTATGTTGTTGTTGCTTGTCGATTGGTGTTTTGACGTTGGAAAATTTGGAAAATATCTGACTTATTGTTTTGTTTGCTTTGTAAGCATAACATATGTTTTGTGTTTTGTTTATTATCATTTTCATGTTTCTATTGTCTGTTAGGCCAGGGATGTATTTTAAGCTGCAATATTTATGGGTTCCTTCACGATTGTTAGGGTTGCCATCCTTAAGTTTTCGTATTGTGTCTTGGATGAGTTGTGTGATTACTTTTTTCGGAAAACTATTGCTGATTAATATATTTGTGATTTCGTTTATGTTACTTTTGTGGAAATCTTGGTCACTTATGCGTAGTACTCTCATGATGAAACTTTTAGCTGTGTTGATTATTTGGGATTTTGGCTGTGTAGTATGGTAATTCATAATTCTGCCTGATGCCATGCTTTCAACCAGTCAAATTTAATAGAACTCACTCACTGGCAAAAATGGAAGTGAATGCAATATCTAATCCCGATTCTTCTCTTTTTAAAGGGTTTCTTTACCTCATGATGGGGGGTATTAAAGTTCGGCCGGTATTTTTTAGCACAATTTCTTCCAAATGGTGCAAGGTGTTAGAAATTCAAAATTCGAACTTTGTTATTTTTTATATCCTCCGCCATAGTATGGACGGTATATTTAGTTCGTCAATCCGTTTGTGACACCTCGATTAATACATAAAATTATATGTCGATTTTACAATGACTGTCCGTCTGTGGAAATAACTCTAGCTTTTGTTCGAAATTAAATAGGTCAATAAATAATAACAATAAAATGTTACTCAGATTTATTTAAGGCATTTTTTCAAATAATTTTTTCATTTTGATGGCCTCCGCGGTTAAATTTCACTAATTGCCTTAGTTTAGCCCCTCTAGCCTGACCTAGCTCATTTTTCCTAGTGATGGAACTAGCCTTATTTTTACTGGGTGGTAAATATGGCACCTTCATTGCAAATTCGTCCCTTTTTCAAATATATTGTTAAAATTTCAACCTTTTAATATTTTCACAATTTTCCCAAAAGAAAAAGAAGGGAAATGTTACTTTGCGTTCGGATCTATGCATCTACATATGTATATTGCATTGTATACTTACATAATTATCTACTAATATGTTTATATTCGAGTTTGTTGTAATTATATTCACTTTATTTTTTTTTTTTGTCTTATTAAACAAAAAATTGAAAAAATGAATTGAAAAATTGACAAAATTGATTTATGCATTCCATAACGAAATTCTTATTCTTATGGCCGTGTTACCTTTATTTACGTGTAGAACAACCGATAAAACCTACTGAAATACATTATTGGAGGACATAATAATTAATATAAAAATGTTGATCTAGTTCTCTAGTACACTGTCATGGACCAAAATAATTAGCTATTGTGTCGTATAATTCATTTCCTTATGGGTAACTACTTGAAAATGAAGTAGAAACGCATAACAAAATTAATTTGCAATTTTTACGGTTTTTGTTTTCTTCACTACATATGCCCTACCGCGCGACCTACCGGTTTTCGGTAGCGACAGCAGCAGTAGCAGCCGACATAAACATACATTAATTCCAAAGAAAAAATATTCCATTCAAAATGGTACTTCACCTGCAGCGGGACCGGCCTCCTACAATGCCGTTTATACATTTTATGCTACACATCCGGATCTTTGATGAACTTGGCCTTGACTTTGTCATGGCTTCGAGTGACTTTGAACTAAGTTTTGTTTTTTTTTTTAATTCTCTTTTCTGTATCTTTCTATTTGGAAAATATCTGACTTATTGTTTTGTTTGCTTTGTAAGCATAACATATGTTTTGTGTTTTGTTTATTATCATTTTCATGTTTCTATTGTCTGTTAGGCCAGGGATGTATTTTAAGCTGCAATATTTATGGGTTCCTTCACGATTGTTAGGGTTGCCATCCTTAAGTTTTCGTATTGTGTCTTGGATGAGTTGTGTGATTACTTTTTTCGGAAAACTATTGCTGATTAATATATTTGTGATTTCGTTTATGTTACTTTTGTGGAAATCTTGGTCACTTATGCGTAGTACTCTCATGATGAAACTTTTAGCTGTGTTGATTATTTGGGATTTTGGCTGTGTAGTATGGTAATTCATAATTCTGCCTGATGCCATGCTTTCAACCAGTCAAATTTAATAGAACTCACTCACTGGCAAAAATGGAAGTGAATGCAATATCTAATCCCGATTCTTCTCTTTTTAAAGGGTTTCTTTACCTCATGATGGGGGGTATTAAAGTTCGGCCGGTATTTTTTAGCACAATTTCTTCCAA